CCTAGGAGAAAACCCTTTTGCTGACCTTTGCAACCTAGTTTTTAGTTTTCTTGTTTTGCCTATAAGTAATGCAGAAGTAGAGCGAATATTTAGTTCAATGAATATAATAAAAACTAAGCAAAGAAATCCAATGTGCGTTAAAACGTTAAACGCTATTTTATATATAAGATACGGTTTAAAACGCGAAGTAAACTGCTGCCATAATTTTACTGTAGATGACGATCTCTTAAAATTAATGAATTCAGGTGATATATACAATAGTGATTCATTTGATGATGAGGAATATACACTCGATATAAATTAATGGTGTTAACTAGTCTTTCGTTTCTTGCGATTTATTTAAATGAAGCATGTGAATTTTCACTAAAATATTTTAGCCGTTTTTAGCCGTTTTTTTTTTGCCAATCTAGCCGGTCGGCCCAAAAAGTTCTGGCAACACTGCTGGTAACTTCTGACAGAGAGAGAACCGTATTTACTCTCTTTTCATGATTCAATAATACAAGGTTCGATAAACTGACAGTTGTCTCTCTCGCACCGCTCCCTTAGCAGTGGCACCGTGTTGCTTCTTTGCACATTTACATGGAAACAGTGTAGCTTTGGTGTGAAATAGAAGTATGAGCGTTTGTGCAATATGTTTAATTGCATATGCATATGAAGCATATTTAACTGATGAAAACATAAACTGTTTTTAAATTGGATGTTTCATCAATCTCATAGTAGTCTTATTTTAATTTTGAGTCATTTTGCAGTTTTTATACATTTGAATAGCACATAAATTACGTAATTCACATAGATACACACAAACATTTCGTTTAAAATGCCAGACTTCCTGCAAATACATTAGAATTTACGAAAGGAATTTCACTACTAATTGCCTATTTTGCGTACTTTTCTACTACCATTTTCGCAACAAGGGATTGCATTCTTGCCCTTTCTCTGTCCTTCGTAAATGCAACCTTTTGTAAGGGAGTGTCAAACCGCAGCTGTCAATAATTATCTAACCTTGTATTATTGAATNATCTAAAGTTTTAGAAAACTTTTACTGGTTTTGCGTTCTCGTACCCAAAAAACTTGCAAAGTAGGGGAAATTGAGAGAGCAGAATGTGAAAGAGCTGCAAATTTTTGCTGGAAAAATTTTTCGCAGCTAAAACTTGCAAGTTAGAAAATCAGCTGATCACAAACACATGTTTGTAAATAAACAAAAGAAAATATGGCCTTTTTGAGTTATTTGTTGCAAATTTTATTATTAATGCTAGTATACAACGAAAAAGTGAGTAAATTTAATATGCACAACGTTGGTTGTGCTTATTTTTCGCTAATTTGCTATTAATCTCCAGTTTGTTTACTTTAGTGTGTGCTGACCATGGTTGCCGTATGACATTTTTCCTTTGGACCATAATTTACCTTTAAATATACCAAAATAGATTCAAATGCAGCATGCTGAAATGTTGTTTTGCTGAAGTTTTCGGTTTTGGTAGGTTGATTGTTGAAATGAAAATTTTATAATTTTAAAGCTACATCTGTAGCTATATCTATTACATTGTTTTTGGATCAATGATGGGTGTTTGGAGGAGATACTCTTGTTTTTGAATGCGTCACCATGTGATATCACAAATAATTATGAGAAAAATAACTTATTCATATAATTAATTTGTATTTTAAAAAGATTTTTCTTATCGAAAACTATTCAATTGTATAAAATGCCAAATCGGGGGAAAATGTACCAAACAGAAAATAAATTGCCAAATTAATCACCAGTGGCAACTGTGCAAGTGATCAGCTGTTTCGAAGGTTGCAAGTTTTTGCAAATTTTGCGTTCTCGTACTTCTGTTGATATTTCGTCTCTTTGAGAGCGAATGCTGCTAAATTCTCAGAACTTTTGCTGCTGGAGAATTTTGTCCTCTCAATACGCGTACACACCTAATAATTATCTAACCTTGTATTATTGAATCATGCTCTCTTTTTTGTCCTCTCAATAGTCAGAGAACCGAGTACGGGATCGATTTCCAGTAAAATCTGACTGATTCTGACTATTTCTGACTAGTCCGGACTCGTACGGGATCGCAACTTGCATATGCAACCAAAGTCAGACGCGTGATTTTGAAGGTGTTTTTATTTAATGAATTGTGATTAATTGATTAATATTAAAGTCGTAAAGAAAGTTATAACTAATCGAGTGAAGTGTAAAGTGAAGGGGAATACAAAAATGTATTGGTGAAGTGGTTGCTTTAAGGAGAATAGGAGTGATAAATGTACGCTAATTTCCGAATTTTACAAAAAAGGACATATTTCAAACCCAATTTGTAAATAAATTAGTGACCAAAATTTACAAAAGTGAGTGTTAAAATAATGCGTAGACCCTTGACTATAAGTGTGTGGAATTTTTTTTTAGATCGGGCCAACCCTTTGGACGGAATAGCCCGAAATAGTTGTGAGCGCTACTAAACCCCACCCGTATGCAATCTTGCAATTTAAAAATCTAATTCTAAAGAATTCTCTTTCCAAGCAAATCCTTTTATAATAACTTGAATTCGTCTTGCGCAGACCGCCCTCCGAAAAGCAATTAGCATAAGTATAATTTAGATCACTTTCTTCATCCGTTCTGAAACCTAGTTTCGTCAACCCCCTTCTTAGACTATGCATTAATTTTCAGGTTCATCATATTCGACCTCTTTAAGTCGACTGACGAAATCTTCTGCTTAAAAAAAAAATATTACTGCTCGTGATCAGGTAGTATAATTTTATTAAAGTCAAATGGTTAACAACAACGAATGTCATTAAATGAAACCATGAACGAAAGACACAAGATCACGCGGGAAGGAAAGAACGAAACAAGTTAAGCAGAAATTAGTAAAGAACGTAAACCTACCGGTACGTAAACCCGAGTCAGCTGACACGATCTGTCTTACCAGAGCGCCATGTAAATGAAAACTCAACACCGCAGAATTTTTCTGTAGTTGTAGCCCGTAGCGCAGAAATCTGCGGAATTTAGATTTTTCCGTGTCAGCTGATTTCTTCCTTCTATAGATGGTTGCCACTTCGTCAGTTTCGCAAATGGTAAAAAATGTATAATTTCCTATTCAAAATACGTTTAAAATATTTGAAAATTACTATTGAATAAAGTTGTTTGTTGAAAACTAAGTAGTTTATATTTAGCTACGATCTATTATAGCACGAAAAGTTGTAGTTGAAAAGGTAAGTTTATGAAAACGCATTGATGAGTGGCAACACTGTAGTAAGCAACACTGAGGGCTCCAGTAATCGACAAAATTCTGCGTATACAGACTGCGTTTAAGTATACGTTCTGCGTTCTTGACTAATTTCAGCTTTATTTTCTAGCTGCCGAAATCTCGACGCCATCTTTGTTGTAAGAAGTAAACAACGAAGAGAACGGAGAAAACCGCGAAATTGTTGAACGCATGGACAATCATTTTTATTATGCATATTCTTCTATAAATCAAGCCGTTGTGTTAAATTACTCTTTTCCTTATGTGTACACACGTCACAGGCGAAAAAGAAGAAAATTGCAGTAAAGAGCCACGACCAAATTGTAAACAATGAAGAAATGTAAACAAACGGCTATTGTCAAAATCGTTAAACTTTTTCCCTAAATGCGATTCTAACGGGCTACTCTCGTGCCCGCGTGATCTTGTATTTTTGGTTCATGAAATGAAACTACCTTCTTTTTTTTATCATGGTGCTTTTCTATCAATTGGCACAGGCCAATAGTAAAAAGAAAGGGTAATTCTCTAGGGTGGGGTAACAACCCCTAAAAAAGGTGCGGAAAAGTCGGGAGGGGTACCAAACGACGCGTTTCGGCCCCCCCTAATAACAATCCGGAGGGGGGATAGATAATATTATTAACCANTATGAGCAATTACCACGTCAAAAATGCACTAAATCACCAGTTTCCACTTTTAAAACACTACTAAAACGTTTCCGGTTATTATTTTATGCAAACCAAATCATTTATTCACTTTTATTTTATATATTTCGTTAATAAAACAGAGTAAACAAACTTTGCGCCTGCTAAAATTATTATAACCTCAAATCGCTGGTATTGCCACTTTATTTCACATTTCATTTGCGCTATTATACTCAGTTTACACTATATACTTCTTCTTCTTCTTTTTACTTTCATCTAAATAAGATATTGTAACCAAAATATAATAGCAAATTTCGCTACACCATCGCGCGATTTTTTATTAAAAATTTTCATTATTTATCGAAGTATTGATTTTTATGGAAAAAGCGCCGCTGGCGAAAATTTTTAATAAAAAATCGCGCGATTCTTTATTAAAAATTTTAATTATTTATATATATATTAAACGAAAGAAGATGCCGAAAAGCATTGAACAGTGCACACATCTCATAAGGAAAAGTGAATTATTACGAAATACTAATACAGTGGCAGCACTATAGCTATTTTTGAATCCCGCGTTTCAGCTGGCAAAGATTGTCAACTTCTTTTTAATAAAATAATCTATCTTAGGTTGATAAAACTATGGCTGCATTTCTTTATTCATTCTGAACGTTTGGAATAAACTTTTTTGTTTACTTATTCTGTAGAACGTTCCTGATGATATGTTAACGTATATTTCAAACGCATTCTGTTTATTCCGGCTGTGAAATGGGATTATCCGGAATGTATAAAGAAACGCAGCCTATGTGTTTCTTTAATAAATAAGTTAAATTATATATTTTAAGTGTTTAAAAAGTGAGAACAGGTGATTTAGTGAATCTTTGTCGGTGTAATTGCCCATATAAAACAACGAAATTTAACAAAAGTTTTTTGTTCATAACTTTCAAATGGTTAATAATATTATCTCCCACCTCAAGATTGTTATTAGGGGGGCCGAAACGCGTCATTTGGTACCCCTCCCGACTTTTCCGCACCTTTTTTTTAGGAGTTGTTACCCCACCCTAGAGAATTACCAAAGAAAGTTATGGGTCACTTGCCCGGCTTCCTCCCTGGTCTCTCGCAAAGCTGTGGTAAAGTCGTCTTCACCTGGATCAACGTGACCTTTAGGTGAACTCCAATGAAAATCGGCATAAGATGCGCGTAGCAACAGATATTGAATCTGTTCTTCGATACGACGAAATATAACAAAACCTGCAGCGCGTTTAGCCATTTATTAGTGATGTGCTGAATTGCCGGTACCCAATACTCGGTACCCAATACTTCAGAAAGATTTCGGTACCCAATACTTCCTTTTCGGTACCCAATACCGATTCTATACGTAATTGCAGTTTTTTTACATAATTTTCAACAGAATATCTGTCAAAAAAGCTGCATCGACTTTATTTCGACTATGAATATGATTCACAATTAGTACGAGTTTCTTATGGGCTGTTTTTGCTTACACGTAAAAGCACATTTAGCGCATTTAGCTCTAAATGCTACTCTAAATTTACATTTATCCATACAAAATTCGTCACCTAAATGCAATTCCATTTTTGCATTAGGAATCTAAATGCTAAAAGCAACCCTGTGATCTTCCAAAATTTCCACGATTCGAACATGGTTTAATGATAATAAGTGGCAACATTGCTTTTTCGAGTATACAGTGGCTAGCTGCNATTTTTGGTTTAAAATTTATTTTTTCCTTTTCAGTAGGGTTTTTGCACATTATCTTCTGCGTGAGAGTTGATCGTAATAGATACGGATCTGAATAAGCGACTGGAACACGGCTGTTTGTCAAAAGCATACGATTTCGAACTCGCGTAAATGTAGATTTGCTAAATGCGATAGCATAACCGCTCTTCGAAAGTACTAAATGTTGCATTTTAAATGCAGCAAAAACGCTGCATTACTCGCTTTCCCAAAAGTTGAACAATTTGTACTAAGCAATGTGGAAACCACATATCAGAACACTTTCATCTCCTTCTTGGTATTGTCGCAACAGTAAAATACCTTTTTATCAGTTTCCACCTTCGTAGATCTAAAAATTAAGAAAAATGCATTGTCGGATGAAGGAAGTCTTTCAGGCCTACAATGATGAAATCATTCGATTCATCTAGAAAAAAAAGGTTTAGAATAATAACCCAGTTATGCATACTTAGCTTTGCATGAGAGTTGTCACTTAAGAATCTGTTAAATGGGCTTTGCGTGTAAGATGTTACCCAGCATAGCACTTAACATATAGAATTCTGTTGGGTTTTGATTTTTACGTAAAAATGGTATAGCAGTGCAAGTATGCATAACTGGGCTATAAGGAAGAGTTTCTCTGCATTGTGGCGATGGCAAATGGGAATTTAAACCTCTATTAGCCCCTACACTTGCTTTTGATAGGCTAGGCTCCCCTAAACTGTTTTCATTTTTGGTCTACATGCGTTCTCATTGGAAGCCTAAAGACTGATTCACATACAGCTTTCTTCGCCTTGCTTGATAGTTCTTTGCTTTGACATATAAGATGTAGGAATATGTATGAGTATGTTCACATAAAAAACGTTTAAAGCAAAGCAAAGCAAAACGAAGCAAAATCTTGGGCAACTCTCAACTTTTGCCCGCTTTGGCAATCAGCTGTCTACATGTATCTTTTCTTGTGCACTTGCATTTGCATTTAATGACAAAAGTAGGGTAAATAGCAATTTTTGTTGCTATTATTAATGCATATTATTATATTGTTATCTATTTTACAGATAAAATATATGGAGGAAAAGGAGAGCGCAAAAGCTGTCAAAGCGGTTATTGCAGCATACCTTCTGCGTTTCACGCGTTGTTGTTAAAGTTTGAACTGTCAAGCAAAGCGAAGAAAGTTGTATGTGAATGGCCCTTATGCAGCATTTTTGCTGCATTTAAAATGCAACATTTAGCACTTTCGAACATATGTTTTCGAAGAGCGTTCATGCTATCGCATTTAGCAAATGTACATTTACGCGACTTCGAAATCGTATGCTTTTGACAAACAGCCGTCTTCCAGTCGCTGTTTCAGATCCGTATCTATCACGGTCAATTCGCACAGAGAAGATAATGTGCAAAAAACCCTACTGAAAAGTGAAAAATAAATTTTTAACAAAAAATTAATATATGCTTTTAGGTGACGAATTTTTTATGGGTAAATATACATTTAAAAAAGCATTTAGAGCTAAATGCGCTAAATGTGCTTTTACGCCTAAGCAAAAACAGCCCATTACTTACACGTGCGGCCATTTAGTTTCGGTCAAGGCGAATTTTTAGAAGGTGGTGTTACTAGATTATCTGATTTTCTGTATGTGTTTCACCGCACGGCTTCTTGTGTCAAATTGAAAAATTTTGTTTGCATTTCCAAACACACTTACAGATTTTGACAGTTTATGCCACCCAAGAAAAAACAAAATCCATGTAAATCTTTGTTTTTGCACTCCTGATATCACCTTATATTAATTCGCCTTGGTTTCGGTCATGGTCCATACATACAAACATGCATACTATTTCGGTTATCTAATGGAAAGTAAACCAATTTATAAACGTGTAAGGAACAATGAAATTAAAAAAATATAAAATAAATAAACGTCCAAAGAGCTTAATTTAGCTGACATGNGCATACTATTTCGGTTATCTAATGGAAAGTAAACCAATTTATAAACGTGTAAGGAACAATGAAATTAAAAAAATATAAAATAAATAAACGTTCAAAGAGCTTAATTTAGCTGACATGTGTTTGTTCTGTAGACTTGAATTTGTTTGAAATGTTTTGCTATCGTACATTTTGCTAGGTGAAATTTTCAGGTTTTCTGTTTTGTGATGTGTACGACGCCCTCTACACCCCCCATAAAGTCTTTTTGTTCCAAACGTTGTGCACTCTCGCGAAGTCAACCTTTCATTTCTGATAAAAATCAATTCCGAGTCGGATTCTGCGACATAGCTGAATGTTTCACAACAAAATGTGTTATTAGCACAGTTGTCCAAAATTTGAAATAAAATACTGCAACTGAGCTAATTATTTTTCTAACGGAACTTTTTGGGGCCATTTCAATTTTTTGGTAAAAGTCACTTCTCTTTTTTGTACAATTAGGGCGTGTGTGAATAGGTAACAAAGTTCTATGGGGGAAAGCTGTTGAATAATACTTTTACTATGGTTAGACAGTTTTGCCAATCTGCTGTGTGAAATGAAATATTTTTTTGACAGCAGTAAATTTTTGATAACCGCAGATTTATGCGGAATAAAATATTACAAATTGAAGTGAAATTAATATTTTAAGAAAACATCTACCATCGTTGATTGCAATTCATCAATTTAAGCTTTTATTTAACGAAAAATTACACACATCAACAATCTTTGCGATTGTCAAAATTTTCTATGCATTTGTCAAAAATTTCACTAGTCTCATGAGCTACTGAAATTTTATTCACCTCATAGTTGTCAAAAATTTACTCGCCGCGAACTTTGTTGCCGATTCACACACGCTCTTAGTTGTGATTCGTATTCTCCAGCAAAAAATATCCAGTAACTTGCCAGTAGCCATATTTCGGAGGGTAAGCCAATATTTACTCGCAATGAGAGAAATATGCAAGAACGTACGAAAACGCAAAACCAGCTGGAAGTTGCACGTTTTGTGAACAGCTGATTAATTTGCCATTTTCCGACGCAATCTTCTAAGCAAAATAGAATTTCCCATCTTAATATATATTTAAATAGGTTTATTTTGTCAATTGCAACTTTAACCGTCCTGTTCATGGATGGGTACTCGTGTACCTTTTGCATATTCAAGTACAATTTTTTTATAAACTACTGATAGTAACGAGTTAAAATTTGGTGACATCCTAAAACTATCAATTGTCTACAAAATGGACAAAAACTTAATTTAAATATAATTTCATAAGGATGGTTTTTTGATCAAAATCATTTTTTATTATTACTTCTCATGGCTGAGGAACCCGGATACTACTAGTAGATAGTTCTCATGTAAATAATAATTGGTTATATAACATGCAAAAATTGTAAGTTTTTATACCCGAGCGCACTTGTGCAAAAGGGTATTATAACGTTGTTCACATAACGGTTGTTTGTAACAACCAAAACGAATCGAGATACACCGTGGGCGCCATTTTTTGCTTAAATGGCAGTTTTTTATCATTTGGCAATCTGATAAATTATACGCAAATACACAGGCAAATGAACAAAAATACCTTCAGAACTTGAAATTTCCTCGCTACGATGGCCCGTAGTCATAGTCAAAATAAAGTCGACTTTAAAGTTAGTTGCAGCTTTTTTGACAGATATCCCATTGAAAATTATGTCAAAAAGCTGCAACTAACTTTAAAGTCGACTTTATTTTGACTATGACTACGGGCCAATATATTTAGTAAGGTGAAAATGCAGATGTACGTTTGTATTTGCTTATTCAACATTCAAATGGTTTGATCAGTTGGTGGTTTGACACTTTACCAGATTTTACCAGCAGAAATTCTTCAGGCAAAATCTTGCAACTTCGGTCAAAGAGAGGGCCGATTTTACACTCCCATTTTTCCCCTACTTTGCCAGAGAACTGAGTACGGTAACGCTTTCCGGCAAAATCCTGTAAATTCTTGCAATTTCTTGCGAGTTAGGGAACGCAACTATTATAAATTTTTGGAAAATGGGAGAAGCCACGCCCGNCGATTTTACACTCCCATTTTTCCCCTACTTTGCCAGAGAACTGAGTACGGTAACGCTTTCCGGCAAAATCCTGTAAATTCTTGCAATTTCTTGCGAGTTAGGGAACGCAACTATTATAAATTTTTGGAAAATGGGAGAAGCCACGCCCGCCACCAATTTCTCCCAAACTTGGCACAGTTGTTGGCCTTGGTACAACATATCAAACGACTGAAAATTTTTAAAATCGGACAATAACCACGCCCATATCACATATAACAGTGTTTTAGGGAAGTACGAAATCTTCGATAAATCAGCAAATACTGAAGCTAATTTATTCAAAATTGACGTTTGAAATAATTATTTAGCAGAAAATACGTTTATGGTAAAATTTTGGAAAATGGGCGTGGCCCCGCCCACTTAAGACCACATATCTCTATCTCGGTAACTGCTCGGNCAACAGACTTTTACGTATGTAATGCTGTGCGTTGGGTAACAGCTTACACGCGAAGCTCATTTAACAGATTCCTTATGTGACAACTCTCAAGCAATGCCAAGTATGCATAACAGAGCCTTCAATGAAACGAGCAACACCAAAAGGAAATGTG